ATACCAGAGCCGAAATTTTGGCCCTACGTTAAACCTTGAATTCTACAACGCAGTAAGTCAGCAAAGTAGATGTAATTCTAATGATACAATTTACTTCTACTTTGACTCTGATGATGTCCGAAATTTCCCTTTTCACTTTCATTTGCGTCAAATTAGATGTTGAGGCGTCAAAATAGATGTCAAAATGAAATAGTGAGGCTAAAAGTAGGATTTAAATTTCGACTCTGGTAGGTTAAATAGAAGCAAAAGGGGTTGATATTGGGAGTACAAATTAGTTCGGTCCGTTTCCAAAAGATAGCTCTGGCTGTTATGAATGTTTCATAGTAACAGCTGATTTCGGTGGTTCAGATTTCAGAGAGGTTAGATATCTGTCAATAATATTCAGTTTATATCGCTTTGAATTTTATACAAAACCCCTGTTTTTTACTGTGTTGAATATGTCAAATTTTGTGTTAACTAAGCAGCATTTGCGGGAGGTTTTAGTTTTCTGCTTTAATTGGAAGAAAAGTGCAGCTGAAGCGCATCGAATGCTTGTAGAAGTTTATGGTGACAATGCTCCAACTAATAAATCATGTAGGGAATGGTTTCGACGTTTCAAGAATGGTGATTTCAGCGTTGAAGACAAGCCTCGCTCTGGACAGCCAAAAAAATTCGAAGACAAAGAATTGGAGGCATTACTCGATGAAGATCCGAGTCAAACGCAAGAGGAGCTTGCAGAATCATTGGGAGTTGATTCGTTTGAGCCGTGCATTACGAGAAAAACGGCCGGAATACGAGCAAAGACATGACAAAGTTATTCTTCTGCATGATAACACTCGGCCTCATATCGCTAAAGTCGTAAAAAATTATTTGGAAACGCTCAAGTGGGATATTTGACCGCACCCGCCATATTCGTCGGACATTGCTCCTTCTGATTACTAGTTGTTCCGACGGATGCAGCACGATTTGGCAAGTCACCGGTTCACTTCTTTCGCAGAAATCGAAAATTGGCTCCTAACTTGGATCGCCTCAAAAGACGAGACATTTTTTCAAGATGAAATTCGAAAATTGCCTGAGAGGTGGAAAAAAGTAGTAGCCAGCGATGGACAATACTTTGATTAATCTGTTCATTCATTTTGTTCTGAAATAAATGCATTTTTGACCACAAAAAAACGGACCGAACTAATTTGTGCTCCCAATAGTAAGAGGTTGTAAATTTCAGAGTATCAAAATAGGTGTTGAATGGAATTAGTAAAGCTGAAAATAGGATCAAAATTTCGACTTTGGTCATGGAAAGAATTTCTAGTCGGTACCCTCTTCGGAACTTCTCACGAGCCTATCTCGTATCGCAAAAGAATCGCGTCATTATCGTAAATGATTAGGCGCCGACTCGCGACCACGATTATTAGCTAAGCTTGATGAACGATCGAAAGTAAGACGGGTCGCGCGCAGACGGATCTGACAATACAGACGAACGGTAAGTTCGAACGTAGAAGAAGTTCGCTTGAATCTATTAATTCGCCAAGGCGTGTCGATAGAGTCGGCACAGCGTGCGTGGCTATTGGCAGGTAGAAAGCGGAACGTGCGAACAGCCCCGAACGATCGTGTAAAACTTTACGTGACCGACGAATAAAGAAGATGCGGCTCTGTAACGGTGCAATTCCGGCCTCTGCTCTTTCGTCGTCGATTAGCGTAATGATGGCAGTCGCGCGACTGGCTCAGCCCTATAATCGTCAAGGAAGCATATATCAATCTCCCTTGATTCTATTTAACCAAGCTGTACTTAGGGAGGTCCTCTTTAGTACCTCCAATGGCATTTTGTGCCATTTGGAGGCACTAAGTAGGATTTCAGTTGCCGTGTGTTTATTACATACACTGTGCCTTCAGAATATACAGATGTTAGAAAGTTCAGGTCCAAGTAGGGCTAAAATTTTGTCTCGGTGATACACGTGCGGAACATGTACCATTCGCGAGAGAAACACAGAGCGCGAAACTAGAAGTTCGCTTCGCGAACTGAGACTTAATCCTGCGATGATCTCACACATCCGTGGGTCAAGGTGGCCTGGGGGGAGGAGAGGGGGGAAATCGCACGTTTCTAAGACGACGCGGCTACTAAGAATAAGAATGTGACCGTTATGGTTTTATGAAATCCCTGTTGCGCAGATGCCGGGATCTCCCGACTTTGGACTTCGAGTCGGCGGTTCTCGTAAAGTTTTATAGGACCATCGTGCGCAATAAGAAATTGAATCTCGTCCGAATCTCTCCGCCCAGCTGTTACGCGCTTGTGTCGTATGCATGCGCTCTTTAGAAATATCCGTTATCGGGACCGTTATATATTTTGCCCAGCACGTGGAGAAAGGAACGTCGAGCTTGCGGGAAAGAAACGCGCCGAATCGTCTTGCATCTGTCTACTTTTTCGTCCCGTTCTTGCTCCGCGTCATTGATACGTGTGTAATAACTAGACGTTTTTAGCCGGAGGGATATCGGCTCCCACGAAGAAAATTCACATTGTACGCTCTTTATGTAATATTACACTCACTCGATTTTCATTTTAGCAATTATCCAACACCTGCGTCCATGTCTGCTTACTAATTTTCTGCCAGCTGCCTCCTGCTGGCTCGACCTTATTAATTATAACGCATTTCCGCCGAACTTGCCAGGCTATTTTCCGCCGCACGGAAATTTGCTTACTCTGTGTTTACTAATTCCTTTTACCAAGCTGCCGCTTGTTACAACGTCATCGTTCATTTTTTTATCACGTTAGCCACACTTACTTGGCACATCCCAGTTCGCGCAATTTATTAAGCCTCGAAAAGTGTACGGAAAAGTAGTACTGTTACGTTATTACATTTTGCAAAAATTGATTTACTTCGGTACAAAAATAACAAAGATAAAAATAACCCGTACGAATAGCAAGAATTATTTGCACAGGTAAAGACTGTTGAGACGACGAAATGTTAAATAATCCACAAATCTTTATCCTTTAATAATTTGTAAATAATAATAAATAATTTATTAATATAAACTCTCTCATATGTGTGTAAGTTAAATAATTAAATAATTCACAAATAAATATTTCTTTGAGTCTCAACAAAACGATGGGAATCAAGCACTCGAGGCATTCGCGCAAGTAGACCGTTGAGATCGTATCGATCGTATCGTAAATAATAATCCATAAGGAAATTCTTCTTTAAGCGTCAACGAAGCGATTATAAGCAACAATTTGAAGCGTCTAAAGACAGTAGCCTACGTATTATGTCTCCAAATGCCTCGCTGGGTCTGCGAGACCCAGGAATTTGACGGAATTTGTATGGTAACGCAGAACTAATATTTGCGGTACGAGTGCTCGCAGTAAATTCAGATGTGGCCGCGGGCCAACGGGAGTGACGTGGCGTAAAAATCACGTGAGTAACGGGCGCCGATTGATGTGGCATTACGCGTGTCCCCAGATGCGAAACCGGAGAGAGTCGGAGGACATCAGCACCTTAGATATCAGGGAGGTGTCCCGATACAACATACATTTCTGTCGCGCCGGAGTCTTATCAGGGAATACGGCGGGAATGATTTGTCGGTATTGGTGCGGCCGTAACTTATGATATTCGAATAGAGCTGCCACGTCGCTGTCCCGCTCCCATATTATCCGCCATGATATATTTTAATGCGCTTCAAAGCCGAGGATATACCGATAAATTGTCCGCTCGCTCTATTGACCGCTGTATTAAGAAAACTGGACCGATACGTATTTGTTTCTCTCTCTCTTTAAACGTTTCATCTCCGTGCTCACTGAAAGGTCTCTCTTAGTCGCGGAGTTCTGTTAGCGTGAGAGAAATTACAACGGTTTTGCAAGACGGTCCGTTTAATCAGAAAATTACCCGTCGTAGTTTTCCTTGTCACGTCTATCTTCCCAAGTTCTAGTGTTTGAATGTTAAAAGTTTTTAATCGTCTAGACATCTCTCCACGCGCAGATGCACGTACGGAATGTGCCCCACAGTGCCGTGAAGGCGTAATGCAATTAATTATAAAGTTCATTATCGTTTTATTATTTCACAATTTACGCACAAACTTACATCTAGTATTAAAACGAGTGGTGAGTTTTCCGACAATATGTTAAATTGCGATAGAAATTGATTAGTTGGCAAATCAATTTAATTAGCACATATATTTTGTGTTTGTTAATTCCGTACGCGCGCGTATGAGAGAGAGAGAGAGAGAGAGAGAGAGAGGCATTACGGCAATTTCCCGTTTCGGTTAGATAAGCAAACACCACGAAATTCAGGGTCCACCGACGAAGCGGACGGCACTTCGGGAGTTTAGTACGTACGCGAAATGAAGAAATATACGGTCACAAATCACAGCGTTACCTCAGAAGATGGCGTGCAGAATGGGGGGATGAGCGGCGAGGGTACAGGAGAAGTGAGGGTGGAAGGCGCAACGCGTAAAGATTATCGCCAGGAACTCCGATAACGTCCCAGCCGCCGACTAGTGGAGGAAATAGCGGAAGAAGTACCGGCTGCCGGAAGCGCAGCCACGAGTTTCAAACGATAATAATTTCCTGCGAGCCTCGCGCGCGCGAACGAACACCATTCCGAGATTTCCTATAGATTCCTCGGATTCTGACGAAAACGAGAAAAGAAAAGGGCGAAGACCGGCGGGAGGAGCGCAGGGTTATTGAACGGGGCCTTAATGCGCGACGTCATAAGAGATACCGTAATCGACGACGTTACATACAACGCAGCATTCATTACGAGACGCATGTAAAAGTACGCGGCATCGGTGCATTCGATGCATTACCCGACAATCGATTTTGCGGCTTGTGAAACATTTATTTCCCAGCTCGCGACTCGCTCCAGTGTAATAACGAAGCTTTTTCCGACGCCTCCGCTTTGATAACGTCGCAAAGTTAAGCGAGACACCAACGACGGCTGAGCGCAATAAACGCAAAGTTCGGCCAAGTTCGGACGAAAGGAAACAAAAGAGCGGACGGAAGGAAAGATCGAGTCGTGCTGTATCGTGAAAGTTACCTGAATCTGACAGACCACCTCGCCGTACGGCCAACATCCGTAAACAGCCGGCAAGAAGCCGAAAGGGGTCACCAGAAGACCAATCGCTAGGTCGTTACTCGCTAAGCTCGTCAGCAGATATCTGGGCTGGAAGAAAATTGAGGAGAACCTGTTGATCGCCTTGGTCAGTGTCAATAGATGTCTGGACGGTTAAGCTGGTGTATAATATCGCGCAGCGCGCCGGCCCCATTATGAGGCGTGTGGCGAGAGAAAATATTGATTAACCCGATGTAACGAAAACTTTTCCCGTACGAGCGCCGCGCGGCTGGCTCTAATTATGATAATATTCGCGAAAGTTGCTGACGCTAACAAAACATAATTTCTCGTAGAAGCAAATGGAAAGATGCACGACTTATGTTTACGTTTACTCGATTATCGACTTACTCGCCACACGCGCGAGCCGTTTTCGCGTAGATACACTGAGAGAAAAAGATCTAAGAAATAAAAAACTGTGGTTCTTTGGTGAGTACTGATAACGTATTTACTTAAATCTGAAATCTTTCATCCAAAGAAAAATTTTTTTTAAATTATAAATTATGAAAAAGAAAATATTTAAATAAATAAAAATATAAAAAAATATAAATAAATAAAAATATAAACATAAAAAATATGAAATAAACAATTGTTCTTGTATAAAACTGTGTTTTTAAGGAAACGTTTATTTGAGTACTGATAACGTATTTAAATCTGAAATCTTTCATCTGAAATCTTTCATCTTAAATCTGAAATCTTTCATCTAAAAAAAAATAAAAATAAAATTATAAATCATAAAAAATAAAACATTTAAATAAATAAAAACGTGAAATAAGTAATTGTTCTTATAAAAAGCTGCGCTCTTTAGAAAAAGTTCATTTTCTTATTCAGAAAAATTTCCTCTACAGTGGAAAGATATGTATGTGAGTAAAGTGAATATGTTGTTAGTACTTATTAAATAAGTATTTCTCACTTTTTAAATGTTTTTCTCTCAGTGTATATTCAATGAGCTACGATTTGCATATGCATAAATAGAATCCGACCACTCGACGCGAAACTGCGAAGCGAAAAACTGCTAAAGAGTCGAAAAAGGGGAAGGTACGGAAAGTTGGACTTCGTTAGCGACTGTATATCTATGGCGGCGGAAGATTGCATAAATCCCGATAACGAATTCGCGGGAGAAATACTTATCGGGATAATCATTCCTCGAGAAACGTCCGGGTTGATACACGAGCTGCAACATCGGAGGGAGCGCGCTTTAGGAAGCGGCTAAAAGTAGCCGGAGTCTGTGTGTACTTGAGTCTACTCGCCGAAATGGTTTACATATTCATGAGCCAAGGAAATCGATGAATGCTAAAGAACGACATATTACGCGGCGCGCTCTAATAAGCGCATTTTCAATCTCTCATGTTACGGCGCCGCCACAGTCCGCGGGAAAATTTTAATTAACCGAATAAGTGGAAGATGTAGCATCCGCGAGCAACGTCAAACTTTTTGCGAGTATCATCATTAGTCTCTCTCATTCTCTTCTCCCCTCTCTCCCGCTCCAAAACTCTCTGTCGAGCCAACGGCACTCATTTAGTATCCAGAAATATGACTATCCCCCGTATTTCGTTAGCCACTACAAACTGATTTACATAGGAAGAAGAGAGAAACCGAGAAAACACCACGGACCGTTCCATCATAACCCGTGAGTTATGCCAGTAATGGAAATCTCTGTGCATCCGAGTAAAATATAACGGATATTTTACTCTCCACAGACCCCATAAAGACACGGAACAAATGCAGTATTAATCTCCTCGTGTTTTGGTGTTCTACTCGATGACACGAGGAGAGTCTCGATGAACTTTTTATTACAATTTTTCAGTTATTCTCTGAATTTCCTGGGGTGGAATCACACTCAAAACGGGTAAAAAGTGACAGCATTTCCACTCGAAGCGATAGTGAAAATACCACCACTCGAAATGGCGAGAGTGAATGTTTTAATCAAGCTTACAATGGATTCTGACTCCATATGAGTGAAATTTACCGCATTTCAATCAATTAGAATAAATATGTTCCCGTAACAATGAAGTGCATCAGATCCATTTTCCAATTTCGTGGGAAAATGTTCACTTGACGATTCCGAGTGGAGAATTGACTCTATATGAAGTGAAGAGTCCCCGAATTTCCCGAATTCAAGTAACTCGATAGTCACTCTGCTTCTCGAGAGAAATTTTACCCCAAGGAATTTAGAGAGAACCAAAACGAAACTTTTCAGTACGAATATCTATCGGGACATCTCTCCCGATAGGATACAGCGGGGTAAATTGAATAGCGGGGAAATTTTGATAATATTAAGCGTTGGCGACAATTTCAGAAAAATATGAGACGCTTTGTTTTATGTTTGAGGTTAGCATGCTATGTATTCATATCTTTACTATAAATCATATTTTTCTGAAATTGCCGCAAATATTATCCAAATTCCCCTGCTATTCAATTTACCCCGCTGTACCCTATATTGAGAGATTTTCCTCCTCAGAGACTTCCTTCGCACATTTGCGTTTAGCTTATCATTATTTAACGAATGGAACGAAAGAGCATTAATACATTTTTTAACGAAGTACATTCTTTCTCTGCGTTGCGTGAATTAATTTTTTGGTCAAGTTTCACCTTGCTCGAGATACGAGGTCCTAACGGGATACGCGACTCCATATATCTAGCGTGTCGCGAACTACGATTTACGCACCTGAGCGTGGATGTACTTGCTGTACCGCCTGCTATTGATGACGCATATCACCAGAAGATTGGCGCACAAGATACCAAGGCTGAGCAGCAGTATCAGGGTGGCTCGTACCAATTCCCCAGGGCCTGGACCCGTCCAAGCCGCCTCGGACGTGCCGCCTCGCCAGCAGCTGCTGTTGCTCAGCGATGGCGCCAGCAGGATCGTCTGTTTGTGCTCCATCATCATCGGTTGGCCGCTTAATTCCCCACGTGATTACCGTGCTAGATCTCCAGCCGAGACATCCGTGTCCCGCTCGAGGCACGCGTACTTCGTACGTTCCCGATTGACCTTCGTTAATTAAATGAAATTTCATTACGTAGACACTTAATCGTTTCGTGTGAGTTTAAACACGACGCGACGCGTTGCACTTGTTTACTCCATTACTTTATGAGCGAGAACGAGCTTTATCGAGCGATCATTATCGGCGTAACGCTTCTTAACATTGTTGTAATGATCGAATCGCGCGGACAATAATGGATAATATAAAGTCAACGTCACGATTGTGAGCCGCCGGACGATTCTTGCTGAGCCGTTTGAGATGTACTATATTTGTTCGCGAAACGGTTTGAACACATTTTTTTCTGATGAAATTGGGAGCGCATCAGAGGATTGCGAGCTTGCGAATTAATTCGTTATAACAAGAGCCAAAGACGATATATCCAATGTCATAATTGCAATAGAAGATTCAAGAAAAATGTAAGTATCTTTATATATTATATATTCTTATCTACCTCTCAAATAAGAGCATAACAGGGTGCAGAGCATAAAAGTGTGATATTTACACTTTATACTGTTATCTTAACTCCTATAAAAACAGCGACGCACTTCCGACCTAGTTAAGTTTAAAAATATGTTCAAACCCGTTATTTCGCAAACGCATGTACACACCATCCGTTTTGCCGCCGAGCTCGTAATTTTTTCCAAACAGTCGCAAAAAGAGTGTCCGCTGTAGCGAAGCGGGTGGCCTTAAGGAATGTTTTCTTTAATAAAATTTCGACGGTTCGAGTGTTAAGAGAGCGCGGACTGACGCGTCGGCAGCCAAATATTATGACGAACCTTTCATCCCTGTCGATCGCGAGTTCCGGAGGGTCTGCCTGGCTGATGGCCGACCGACTTTTTCGAGCACTGTTTCCTCATCGTCGAGCGAGTGGAGGATCCGCACGATTGCGAGCGTTTGAGCGCGTCTGGCAACGCACTTGACGAGCCAATCGTGCCTCACGAATCGTCGTCCATGCGCATCTGCAAAACGGCGCGTGACATTGACTTTTGGACGACAAGTCGCGCGCTAGTCTGAGCTCCGAGGAAGGAGGCAAAAGATGACGAGCGGAAGAAAAAAAGGAGACACAGAAATAATGCGATATTCAAGCTCTCGCCACGGCTGAATTTACGCTCCTACCACTGTGCAAATTACGAAGTCGAACCGGAGAAAAGTTTGACTTGGCAGTTTGCAAGCTGTCGAGGTTGTCTTGCCGTCTATCTGGGCGAGTGAAATTTATGATAAGATAAGATGAAACTTGGTCGTTATTTTATGCATGCCGGTTGGTAAATTTCCCTGTAGGTAAATTTTAGCGGCGGAAGTTCGCGCGGCGGGAGAAGGCGCGTGCGGAAAACAATATCTTCGCGCGTTAACGTAGCCCAGTTTGCAGGCCGCGACCACGGTTTGTGGACGAGCCACGATTACGAGATAACTGCTGAAAAAATCTTTTTTCTTTATTTCACTTTTTTGGTAAAGTCGTTCGCGTGTGTTTCGTTAAAAGTCATACGGGTCTGTCCACAATTTCGGCTTGATTTTTTTATCAAATTTAGTTTTATCGAATTCGGCGGACGAATTTTGCTAATTATTCATCAATCAAGCAATCACCGTCGTCTCATCAATCATTCTCTATTGACGCTTTGACATTCTTTACGCCTCTACTGCAGAAGATGATGACTAGTTTGCTATTAAAAAGACGACATTATATTAGATTGAACTCTTTGACCAATTTAATAAATGGGAACTCAATCAAATTGTATCTTCAATTTTGTAGGTGAAACGTGAAATATGAGCGTAGGTTATGAAAACCGCTCTGCTGATACACATGCATCGGATGAAAAATAACCCTGACGCGTAATTAATCTTCAAATCCAATAATGACTTTTCGAACGTCCATGAGCGATCTGATCCTGCATCGTTACGTGAGAGTTCGTGCTCTCTTTTTTTTTCTCTCTCTTTCTCTCTCTCTCTTTCCTTCTCTTTGCGAAGAGTGCGCACCTACGATGCGTTTTCAACTCGCGCGCGCGCTTGAGAGCTCGCGGCGCTTTATTTGCTTTTGCCTGCAATATTTCCAACAATCAAGCGTACGGACGCATCCTGCCACGTTTCCGTGAATTTTATTTGTACCACGTAAACGAACGAAGTCGTTGGTCTGCGAGGCAGACATTGATCGATCGCGGGCGTCAATTCCGCTCGCGTCGACGGTGAATCGATGATGCGTCACACTACGTTGGAGCCGAATAGATCCCGGCGAATTCACACGGGTGGATCACCTCTATCCGTAATAATCTCAGTCCTACGAACCGCGAATAATTAATTATAAATCTTTGCGCCGCTAGGTATATCCCGGCAAATGAAATCCGATGCCGTTGCAATGTGCCGAGCGGGAGACTCTCGCGTTGAAATTAAAATTCACAAGAATGCGTTTGCCCTTCGCGCGTGCGTCGAAACAGCGTAAACGAAAAAATTAATTGAATCTCGCCAGATATAGAGCGGATTTACGTTCGCCAGTGGGTATCCGCATGAAACGAGAATCTCGTGCCGGTTAATATCGGTCATCTGATAATTATTAGGACCTTAACTTAGTTTCCGCCCGCAAATGTTAGATGGCAATGCAAACAGTTCTAGTAGTCATTACTAACGAAACAGGTAGTTTGTGATTAATTTCGACATTTCTCGATAACATTCAGTCAGCATACACAATTATTTTCCTAAACAACAATTTCTTTTGCTTTGTGAAAAATGGAACGCGATAAAGTGTTTTTTCGACATGTGCTTTTGCACTATTTTGATTTGA